GGCTGTGCCTTCCCAGTCGGGGTCCACACCCTGTGGGAAGAGCAGTGTGGTGCGAGGGGATACTCTCCTTTATCTGTGGGGAGGGGAGGCCTGCATCCCTTACCAAGTAAGGGGGGATTCCAAGAGGACAATCTGGAGGATTCAGGTGCCCACAATAATTCTCGTTTTCTTTGGGTGTCTGCTGGTGCAGCAGCTGCACTGATGTGCCCCAAGTGCACCTGACGGGATGAGGGGAAGGCAGTAAGAGACAGGGCAGACAGTAGGGAAGTCTATGGAGAGACTGAACACCCACTTGCTGTATCCTCTCAGGTCCAAAGGGCACAAGGAAGGGTTAGGCTTGTGCCTTCTTGCCAATACCCTACCCAAGACAAAAGCTGTGGGTATACTCTAGAGGGAGTGGGGATAAGGGAGGATCAAAGTGTGTGAACTGACCTCCTGTATCAAGGAAGTGTGCAGCTGGGGAGGTGGGGGGACGGTTTGCACAGGACCCACAGGAAACCCCACAAAGACTGAATGGGAAAGCCAGCATTTGAACAGTCAGTGCTACATGGAGAAGTGACCGCCAAAGGGGAGAACTCTTAACACCTACCAGCCAGCTAAGTAAAAAGACACGTTTCTTTCCTCTATCCCTCAGGGATGGCCCCACTCTGAAGGAAATAGAATACACTACACCCCTCTCCACTTTCTAAGTGTCCCAAGCCTTGGGCTGGCCTGGGCCCACTCCTTCCCTTACATCAGGCAGTTCCTTCCCCCACCCCAACCTTTCCCCTTCCCATCAAGCCTTGGGATGTGGTGCCCCAGGTTCCTATCCTCATCCCAGGAGACAGGAGCTGGGGACTACAATGAGCACAGGAGGACTGGAGGCTTTTAAAAGTAACTAAAAGGTCGACAGCCTCCTGTTGTATGGGTCTTTAAAAAGTCAAGCTCTGACATTCAGGCCTGCCCACTCAAAAGAGTGGCTTTTAAGTGAAAGTAGCCCCTCAGCCCCACCATTTTGTGATTAAGGGCTGTGGTTCCCTTGGGAAAAGTTTCAGCATATATAGGCACTCAGCTGAACCTGGGCTGTTAGAATTCTCTGCCCATCCTCTAGGAAAGGCCAAGGGTATCCCCCTGTGAGACTAGAGTCCCCACAGAGTGATTTGGAGCAAACTACCGGCCTTAGACCTTGTTATTATTACTACTGTTGTTATAGATAGCTGCCATTTATTATCTACATGCTACAAATTATACTAAGCCCCGTGTATGCTTCTCCTATTTAGTACTGCTCATACTTTGTGTAACTGAGGGCTCTGAAGCTGCAGAGAATGAGGCACTTACCAAAGTGACACAGCCAGTTAAGTGAGGAAGCCAGGCATCCACCCCAGGTCAGTCTAGCTCCTAACCTCACCGTCACATTTTCCCCTAATGCTTTTTGGAAGAAATACACTTGCAACTTGGTATTAGCTAAGAACTATCAGAAGCATCAGTTGTAGTGTTCTGAATGTGAGGTTCTCCCCTAACAACAACGCAAATAATTTAGAATCAGTCCTAATTTTAAAATGTTACTGAAAATGCAGGTTCTACTTTTCCTACATTTGGTTTAGAAACTCAAAATAACCTTTAACAAGTCAAATGAAGAAGCTGTGAAAAAAACAAAACAGGAGAAGCCACTCAGGACCTCAGGAAGAGTTAAAATTTAGAATACATCTTTCACTGTCTTAAAAATACTTCAGTTAACACCTTGTAGTGAGAATGGAATCTGGCAACAAGGGTAGACTTTGAGCTGTTAATCCTGGAGAGTGAGTTTGTGTGGGACCAAACGCTAAATAACACTTTGCAAGTTCACTTCCACCAGCTCTCACAAAACAAGGTCAACTGCCCCAATTCTTATAATTATGAAGCCAGTGTCTGACTAGAGGCCAGTTATGGTCCTTCACTGCCTAATTTTAAAACTTGAGTGAAATAAGGCACCCATGGAGGACTTTTTGCTTCTGGAGTTACCAATGCTTCTCCTGAATGGTGGGCTTCCATCACTAGTTCTGTTTATTGATTGCATTTATTCTTTCTCCCTCTTTGGACTTAGCTCTGTTTAGCTTTTCACAGAGTCCAGTTTATCTTTCTTGAGTAAGAACAACCTGTGCCTCCCTAACTCAATTGTTTATTGGTCACTCTACCCAAATACTATGCCAGCTCCTAAACATATGCAAATCCAGTATTCTCAGATCAGCATTTGACATAAGGAACAGATAGGCTTTAAACAATTCCACCACAGGTCACCGCCATAATTTTTGCCCTACAGTGGCAAGAATAGTATCAAATTGTCTGCAACGTTTATTGACCTTTCCTCAGTCTGGGCCACAGGTGAATTGATTGAACACTGCTATTCCACTTCACAGGCCCAAAGCAAGCAGAACAGCTTTCCTGAGGGCTGAGTTCTGACACCAGTACTTTTCCACTCATTAAAAAAAAACAACCTGATGCTATCTTTGGATGAGTTGGTTGCACAGTCCCTTGCTATAAAAAAAGGGAGATATTCTTGTTTGCTCTGATGATAGGGCTTCATCTTCCGGGACAAGGAATGGTCTGTATATACAATGGATCCTGCTAGCTAATTATGGACAGAAAGAGGGGCTACAGATCAAAATATCTAACATTAAAGTTATTACCTATGTAGGTATTCCAAAAGTCATAAATAAAGAGGCAACACGGTGTCTAAACTTTGGTTCTACAAATTTACTTGTGCAGAAACCATTTGTAGTTACTGCAAGTTCCTTTTCTACTGTAAAATGGGCTCTATTATTAAAGACCCATTTTACAATGGGTTAAATGAGCACAGGAGGACTGGAGGCTTTTAAAAGTAACTAAAACAAGAAAGAAGCAGTTCAAAACTCAACAGCCTCGGGTCTTACACAGCCACCAACAAAGAATGGCAGCTGCACCCAGGCACTTGTCAAAGATTACAATTCCAAATTCATTGTCCCTAAATATTTATTAAAGTATCACTAAAGAGAAACTTGGAGTTGTTTAAAATCCACCCAGTCTATCTGAACTCTCAGATATGACATGATACACTCTTAGGTTAAGACAGATAAGCAGACAGCTAGCTATCTGAGCTGAATATGGCCCCCACCCCCTGTACCCATCTGAGTTCCAGTAGAATATATAAATGTGCTTTAGTGAGATGCCATCTTTTATATGGAAAAACAGAACCCTCCATGTACTATTTGGGTTTATTATACAAATGTTTATATTATGACATCACACATCATATAGCCTATCCATGGGAGTATAAGTGATCATGGTATACAGTTTTTGCTCTATTACTGGATCCACTTTGTTGCATCCTTGCATTCTATATTTATTTGCCACCACATTCAATATGTGTTCTCCTTGTAATATTTCACATACCCTGGAAAACATTTCTAGTAGGTATCTAGAGTCTACCATGGGGCTTGGTGCTTAGGGCATACAGTAAATATTTGTTGAAAGAATTAAAAATGTAGTACAAATAAATTAGAACTATAAATAAAGAGATTAAGTTATAAAAGTGGAGTATAAGTAAAATGAAAACATTCATTTCTCCCTTGCTTGGGTAACCTCAACCCTTAGGCATAAAGTTGGTGCTTATCCTGTATACACTCATCAGTTACGAAGAAATTGCTCTTGTGGATTTCATGGGAGTATGACTCCTTTATCTTACTTCACTGTTTGCTCCTTGAAGACAGAGCACAGCATTTACCCTGAGTTCTTTGAACAGGGCTCTATACAGAAGGTGCTCAATAAATGCAAATTAAATGAATGACCAAGGGCCTGGATATATGACCCACCACTTTGGAAGTGAAAGGATCACAACCCCATAGTTCAGGTGCTATTATTGCTAATAGCACTTGGTGCTCCCATTTATATCTTATTACCTTGCTCACTTTGGGTCATACTACCCAGTGGTGACAGCAGGCCCTAACTTTTTCTCCAAGGCATCTATTGTATACATCTATTTCTTTTGCTGGCTCAGCATCCATTCCCCGTTCTACTATTGATGCTATCATGACTTTTTTTTTGAAAAATGAATGCTTCCCCACTTTCAGTGCATGTGGGTCAGATGAGGTGTAGGTACATGATCCAGGCCTGTCCAATCAGAGCATTCTATCACACTGGCCACAGTGACTGGTCCTAGAATAGTCATGACCAATGTCATGACCCAGTGACTCCATTCTGGGACATTCATGGCAACTGTTGGACACAGAAGTTCTCTTTCTCTTGTTGGATTTACCAAGACAATAGGATACAAACCTATGAACTGTCAAAGCTACCACACTGGGAAAACCTAACTAAATGAACAAACCCTGCATATATAAGAGTCAAGAGAGGAAGACAAAATAAGTCTTGATGATAATGGGCAATGGATTCAGCTGTACCTGAACACCAGTGAGACCTGAGTTTTCTTTCAGTGCAATTAAAAGAATTCAAACCCAAACAGGATTCTGTTCTTGTTATGTGGTCTCTTTCTAAGCCACACTGAACTCACAAGGCCATAATCAGAGGCCTTGTGCTTACAGAGGAACACTGGGACTGGGAACTCAAATATTTGTGTAAACATATCCTGAGTCTACCATGATTCAATTATAAATAATTTTAAACTCCAGAGTCATGGTAAAGGTGTGGAACACAAGGCTGGGTGAGAGAAATTCTAGATCCAGATGTTTACGCATGGCAAGCAGGGGTGTCAAGTGCTGTTCAGGATGTACAGCAATGGGGCCAGCACAGACCATATTTTGATGGACTTGTCTTTGGTCTGATGTGCCACTGGCTTTTTTAAGGCAAAGTGAGGTGAAGAAAGGAGACTGCTAGGGATTGGGAAGCTAACTACAGGGAATGACTGAGGAATATCTAAGAATAGTCTTCCTTCCTTTAGTCTAGGTGATGTTTCCACTTCTGTCACCCACTAATAACCCGTTACTATTTGTCCAGCACAAGTAACATCATATGTTCTCATTCAGGCCTGGGAAAAAAACAAACAACCCTTGGACCATTGTGGTAATTCTTTTTTGGAGGGGAGTGAGGTTGGGAAAAGTAATCCTTCTCTAGGAACTGATCACAGGGGAGACGTACTAAGCCCAGATGGGTATTCTAGACCATAAGCCTAGAGGTTCTCTTCTTTAGGTCAGTTCTTTCTTGGCTCTCCATCCTCCAGGTTTTGTTCAAAGATCTCTGCTAGCTCTTGCAGGCAAGGTTTATGCTGAATGGGTTCCAGTGGTGAGGTCATCTTCATGGAAGGTTTCCATATATGACAGGCCTCTGCTGCTGCGCCCAAGAGCATTCCCAAGGCCCTCTCAGTGATGCTGTCCAAGAATAAGAACTTGGCTGGATTCTCACACTGAAGGAGCAGTGGAACTTTGGTCTCTGAAAATAGCAGGCATTGTCCTTTTTGTCCAATTATAAAAGCAATACACGTTCTCTGTAGACTATTTGGAAATTCAAAAGGTATAGAGGGGAAAAAGAAGCACAATCATGCCTTAATTCCATCATCTACAGAAAACTAATACTAACATTTTGTAATAGTCTTTATGACTGTATCTATCTATGTGTATTTCAGGAGGGCAGCGTTGCCTGATTGTTAAGAATATGGGTTTGGAAGTCTGGCACTGCTCATTTAGAGTTCCGTGGCCTTTGGCAGCTTCATCTCTTTAAGTCTTAACTCCTTCAACAATAAAGTTTGCTAATTTTTAATCTAGTCTGCCACCAGCATGGTATTATTTTAACAGGTTGTAATAAGAGTTATCTAGTAATAACATTTCTGCCAACATTCTCTTTTAATTTTTAGAAAGTTATTTTACTTATTCCAGATTAATTTTAGCATAATCTTTCCAAGTTAAAAAAATGAGATTTTTGAAGACTTTCATGTAAATTTGTGGAATAATTAAAGAAGAAGTAACATCTTTAAAACATTAAGTCTTCCTCTCATAGAATATAGTGTATCTGTCTTTCAATTTATTTTCTTCACGTTCTTCCGTAAAGCTTAATAGTTTTCTTCCTACAGGTCTTACATATTTACTGTTAATTCTGTTCCAAGGTATTTTATAGCTTTGGTTGCTGGAGTGCAAGAGATTTTTCCCCCTGATCACAACTGGTTATTACTTGGACTAGAAAGCTATTTTGTAAGTTCATATCTATCTTTTAGTGGACAACCTTGCTGCTCTCTTACTAGGTCTAACTGTTGTTCAGGATTGACTATCTCCAGAATTCTAGGTAGATACTTGGTTTGCAGACAAAATCTCTGTCTCCTTTCCAATAGTAAACTCTTTATCCTGCTTCATTACTTAGGTTGGATTATCCTTTCAGGACAGTGTTAGATAATAGTAGTTAGAATGGATCTACTTATCCCTAAAAACATTGTCTTTATATTAAGAATGAAAAACTGGGAGCTGGGAATACATGGGTAAACAAGGCAAAGTTGCTGTTTTCAAGGAACTTACTTTAGATACATAAGCTAAAAATAAGCAAACAGGAGGATTTCAGCTAATGACTGTGCTATTCACACAGTAAAGGAGATGTGGCAGAATGATGGGGTTGGAGGTGGTTTAGATGGGGTTGTCAGGGAAGAAACCATGCTAACTACCAGCTCCCATGGATTCATGTTGGTCCTTAGCCCAGAAAACCTCTCCAGAGCCACTTGGCACCACTTACCTCCCCTTGTTTAAACTGTTGCCTTTCTTGGTTTCTGTGCCAAGAGAGTGGTGTCATGATCTCCTGGTCTCCTACCTCTCTGACCCTCTCCACCTTTAGCCTTCATTGTAGGCACATCATCCCTTGACCACCAATTACATAGCCTGTTGGGCAGGACAACACCTATCCTGGCAGCTGGAAGGAGGACTCAACTGCTGGCTCCTTCTGATGAGAGTTCTTGCTTGCATTATGGCCTTTGCACAAGGTGACACTGGGGTAGCAGTGCAGGTCAAGATACGATGTCTGAGTGAAGGTGTTAAGATAGTTTCCCACAGCATGGAGACAAAGCTTCGAAAGGGTAGGGCACAGGTTTAGCTGACTTCCTAATACACAATTCAACACCAAGGACACTATTTCAAGAAAGGGCTAAGCAAAAGAAAGTAAGGAAGTACCATGCTGGCTGAAAGGCACCCAATACAGTGCTAGAATGCAAGCATGGCCCCTATCCTTTCAGAGTTTATACAGAGACATTACTCACATGGAAAGAGAACTTAAAAACACTGCAAAATGGCCAAAAAAAAAAATCACAAATCAAATTGTGGGAAACATGCTGTGTCACTGGAGTCCAATGAGAAAGCCCCTGGAATGAATTTACCAGTGAGAGAAGACCTGAGAGGAGATAGAATTTGAACCAAAACCTACGGGAAGCAGATTTGATCACCAAAGGACACAAGTGCCCATAGTTATGCAGTGTAACAGGGCTGGATTCTGGATCTAACAGACACAGTGAATGATACTGGCCACATCCTAAAAGCATAAGGCCCTGCTTCTAACCCCAAGTAGACTAAAGTTAACAAAAAATTCAACTCTGGATTGAGGAGTAAAGACATCTATGAAAAGGATCAAAGTTCTCTTCCTCTGTTTCAGTAAATAGTTGGAAGGACAAAACTGGGAGGTTCAGATAAGAACGGGTGGAACCAAGGCATAAAAGACATGGTGCATCTCTTTAGGTCCTGGTTCTGCTCTCGGTCTTAGGGAAAATGGGTAAAAATTTGGGATGCTTCTTTTGGTTCTTGAAGTTCTCAGTTTTCCAGCTCAGAAAATCAGGACAGACCAAACAAGATATTTGGAGCTGAGGCCCAGCTAGTGATAAAGAATGTGGATCTGCCCAAGGAGTCCTGTAGCTGGAAGTTGGATGGGATAGAGATCTATAGGTGGAAGCAATGGCACCTTACCTCTCGTATTTTGAGAGACACAAATAACAAGTACCTTAAATCTTTATGGCATCTTACAACTCTCTGTTATTTATGGATTTTGTTCTGTTCTCATCTGAGGTAAGCATTATTAGACTGACTGCATTTTACAGACTTTAAGTTAAGTGATTTGCTGGTGAATGAAAAGCTGGCCTAGAAGCAAAGTCTTAAATGCTCACTGACACTTCCTCTTGAGAGGGTGGTGTTCCAGTGCTCGTAATCCAAACAGGCCTTCTCTGTGCCCAGGCAAAGCTGCTCACAAAAAGAAATGAGCCTTGACCCAGAAATTCTGTTCTGGGCTCAGAGGCTTGAAAAATCCTTGGACAAACCGGTCTCCTAACCCAGGTACTGTTAAAACACTAAGTTACCAGGGAGGAGGTTGGGAGGCACAATACCACATACAAACTGTTTTCTAGTGAACACCATCCGGTCTGGTCCTAAAACTGTTCTCAAAATCCATGTGAAACTGACCTAAGTGGCAGGACTCATGGAGTCTTCACACCATTAAAGCTTTACTCTCAGTAGTCTCTATTCCACTTAACCCCCACATGTGAAATTTCTTCCACTGGGGTAACTAAAACCCAGAAGTGATCAACAATCAAAGGGGATAGGCATTATGACTGTCAATTCTGGGGTGCCAAAACAAAGGTTGGAACCTTTGCCTCAAACAACAGATGTCCATTACTAGACTAGTCCCACGGAACTGCTTCTCCCCATGCTGCCTTCTAAGGTGTCTGGTACCTAAGAGAGCATTACAAAGGCTTAAGTGGTTTCTTCTTCCTCTTTGGTGACATTTAGCTAGGAGTACAAGATCATCTGAGAAAATTCAGCACTACCCAAGTCCCCAGCAAGGCAGCTTCCCCAGAGTCTCTCTGCACCTGGCCCAAGGCACTTGGGAGGGTCTGTGCCACTGATACCAGCCAGGGTGCAACCAGACACTGCCTCTCTCCCACTCAGCCCCACCAGTAAGCATGGTACTTGTGTAGCTTGTAAGAGCAGGAAGGCTTTCAGGAGTCCAGGAGTCAGTCTCTTTACCTTTCAATATAAGCTGCTTTCCTCAGGTTTCATGGTCTGATTCCTGTTTATTCGCAATATTCCCTTTGTCCTTTCCTTTTCTCCCCCTCTGTCCTCCCAAGTCTCCCTGCTTCCTTGTGGGCCAGCTCCACAGCACCACTCTCCCACAGAGGTAGGGTGAAGAGAGAGAGACTGAAATGACCCTGTGCAAAGTGCCACTGTTGCAGGTGAAAAGATGACATGTGCAGACTGATTTCCTGCTCCCATGCAGCCACTGGGATTTCTGGTGCAAAGGTACAGAAGCAAGAAAATGTGGCCATTTGGTGTGGTTGCGATATACCATACATTAAATTCACTTTGGTTCAATAGGCATTTACTGAATGTCTTTGGTATGCAGAGATTGGGAAGAGAGCGCACAATTCTTAGATACAAATGACTGGTGCAGTAATTTTCAACCTTGGCTGCATGTGAGAATCCTCGCAGCTTTAGAGACAAAGTCAAAAACAATGTCTAGGGCCCCATCCCAGAGATTCAGATTTCACTGGTGTAGGGTGGAACACAATTATCAGTTTTTAAAAAATGTATTTCCCTAGTATTTGAATGGGTAGCCAGGAGCAAGAACTTTATGTGGCCATATGCAGAAAGTTCTGAATAAAGGTTCAATTTAGGTTTTAGGCAATGGAAAGCTACTGTAGTTTTTGGGCAGGAAGCATGAGAATGGTTGCAATATGGGCAGCTTCTCCTGACTTTACTGGACAGAACAGACTGGAGTCAAGAAATACTGAAAAAGAGAGAGAGATCTGGTAAAAGCCTACTGCAATAGTCCAAGTAAGGGGTAATAAAACCTTAAACTCAACAGTAGCCCTGAGGATGGAGAGTAAGATCAATTTCCTGGAAGGTACAGGACTGGGCCCTTGTAGGACTGTTAGGGCAAGGGGGAACAATCCAGGCACCTCTGGGGCCACAGCAGGGATAGCAGGCAGTGGCAGGAGAGGCACTCATCTCTGGTTCAGACCCACTTGGCCCCACATTTTCACCTATACCAAAACTGCAGAAGAAAGAATTCCTGGTATCTTGGAAATTGAAAACCTAAGAAGGACAAGAACAGAGAGACTTGGCTCTTTCAGGTTCAAGTGCTCCGAGGACTGCTACCCTAAGTGATAAAGACTGAACATATTCAGGACACAAGATTTTAACATGAAGCAAAACATCATACATCTGCAGACTTTTTCCCACAGAATTCTGATATAAAAAGAGATCATTCTTCTCTTATTCAAGGTATTTTACTCTCCAGCCCTCACCTGAGGCCTCCCACACAGTGCCATTATTTCCAGGCCACCTTAAAACACTAGGCTCATCTCACTGAAAGAAAAATACAGAATCAACTGCAGCTTCAAACACCTTCCTAGATGTTGCCTAAGTCAGAAAAGGATAGCCACACAATAAAATTGGTATGGTTGGGTGCCATGGGAATGTAATCATTTATTTGGAGTTTCACCGGACACTCCAAATAAAGGTTCTATTATCTTCAGCTGAAAGCTTTCAGGCCCTAAGGAGGAAGTGAATAGGATGACCCACTTCAGATAGAACCAAAAGAACAGATGACTTCACTGCCCTGGGAGAGGGCAGCAGGCAGACAAAATAACTCAACAATTAAAAGGGAATTGGGACACACCTTCCATGTCATCTCAAATTCCATCTTCCCCTTACCTTCCCCAAAACAATCAAACCTTTTGAGTTAGCCTGTTTAGACAATGCTTGATCAACAGATCACTCTACAGCACCAGGAAGAAAAAAAAAAAAAAGAATAAGTTATTTGTTATTTTATTGTAGAGGAAAAAATATCCTGAAATATTTGTTAAATAACAATAATTTCTGATAAAATCATTTTTCAGGGTTTTCAAACCTGACCATCTTGTCAGACATAGTGAGCTGTCCCTCACCCTTGTAATAAGCTTCATTAATATTGTCATAAACCACAGGAAAACCTGAAGATTTTCTAAATGGCTTCCAAATTTCTGCATAGATGCCCTTAATTAGTCCAAAGGTAAATAACAAAATACCAAGAAATTAGAAGGATAGCTGAGAGGGAAAAAATGTTAACAATTGGTGAATCTAGAACAAAGGATATGAGTGTTCATTATACCATTCTTTCAACTTAATTTTTTAGTTACAGGCAGACTGAAAAGTTGCTTTAGTATGATTGTGCTATTTTCCAGACCTGCCTAAAATATATATATTTAATTATTTCTTTTCAAACCACAAACAGAAAATCAATTCTTCCCCAGGGGATACTCACTTTCTATTGTCTGCAAAAGCTTCTAGAGCTTTCTGGAAAGTTTAAATTAAGGGGTTACAGTATACTGGAATGGTTTTATAGTTCTTGGAAGGGTGATTGAGCCAAACTCTCATCGAAGGTCTGTGATGGTCACTCCTCTGTCCACCACAGTCACGTGGTTACAGCTCTGCAATAGGGAAAAAGAAAGAAAGGGAGAGGCCTGGAAAATTCTGGAGAGTCATTTTTTAAAACTCTCTACTTAAAATGCTCGGGCTAGTGTTTCCCACTCTGGAAGTCATGCAACTACTTAGGGCAGTTATTGTAAAGGCTCTGGGAATCATTACTTCTACCAATCCCTACCTGTAGCCTGAATCAACATGGACCCACATATCTCCATTTATTTTTCAAATGTATGTATATTATAGTCATTAATAAAATGTGCATTTATTTAGAAGAATTGCTGACTTAATTGCAGTTTTTTGAACTATTATGTCTACCCAACAATAACATACACCTACCCTCACAAGGGGAATGCCTAATTCTGGCATGCAGAATGGGTCTTTATAACTGAAAACCCAGGCACTTTTCTGGAATTGTGCAGCCTCTGTTTCAACATCCTGGAACCTAGACATTTCTTACAATCCAAGGCAGGCTAACCTTTTTGAATAGATCTGTCAGAAAGTTCTTTCTTATACTTAGCTGAAAACTGTCATTCCATGAGGTCTTAATTTTAGTTCTGGGAGTCATATGAAATACACACAATATCTTTTTATACAATTCTTCTAATACTTAAGAGTCAGTTCTCAGAGCCTCCCTGGGGTTTCTCTTCCAAACACCCTCAGTTCCTCTTCTCAGTCCCTTTTCCATACTGGTCACTTTTCAGTGAACCACAGAAATAATCATCTCCATGGCCAGCATGGACTGAAGCAATGCTTTCACATGAGATCTGAGGGGCAAACTGAAACATACTGCCAGAAATGGAAACTTTATTCACAGAATACAATTTATGGCGAAAGCTTTCTAAGGTCATAAAAATTCTTATTCTCTAAGCAAAATTCCAGAATCAATATACTTGACCTATTTTAAGTGGGTTGTTTTCCTCTGAATTGAAATCTTTTACTGAAGTAGACTTTCCAACTGATGGTGATGAAGGAAAAACACTAACATTTAATAATCCAGCTAATGCACTAGGTACTTTCTGTACATTATTTCATTTAATCCTCCCAGTAATCCTATATAGTAGGTATTATTATTACTATCGTCCCCCTTTACAGATGAGAAACCTGAAGCCCATGAAGGTTAAGTAGCCTGATCAAAAACACACAGTCCTTGATTGCAGAGCTAAGATTCAAAGCCATTCTTATTCCACACTGCTCCCCATGTATATCCTTATTAGGAAGACGTGGAAAGTAAATGACAAGGCTGATCTTCTTTGTGGGTTGAAAGGACAATGTATCTCATTAGCTCTGACTGTCCTCCCTGCCTGAAGCACAGTCCCAGTTTCTTCTCAATAGGTACATACACAGAAAAGTGGTGGATCCTTGCTGTGCGGATGAAATCCTTTCTGGCGACAGGAAGAAATCTCCTCCAGTCCATGTTCAGTTAGTTTAAAGAACCCAGTTCTAAAATAAGAAAGAGCAGGCTCAGAATCAAAGGTGTCCCACTGATCTCACACACACACACACACACACACACACACACACACACACGCACGCACGCACGCACGCACGCACGCACGCAAAGTAGAGCTCATTTTGAGGCAGTTTCAAAAGTATGCTGGCTCATAGGTCTCTTTGGTAAATGAATCAGAGTTAGAGAATGACTCATCACTGCCACCGCACAAGTTTTGCTGGGAGAATGCATAGTAAATAACAGGATAAGAATGAAAAAGAAGTTAACATTCTGAGATAACATGCTTGATTTTGAAATTCTCTAATCTGACACCAATCTCTTGTAATTCTTTCATTTCAAGTCAATCATTTCAAATTTCTTATGTCCTTTTCTTAGAAAAGCACCTACATTGTTGCTTGGTGCTTTTTAAACAAGCATTATAGGTTTATCAGGATATGGGGCATAAGAGGAAGCCTTTAGAACAGCCAGTTAACACCAATCTAAAATCTAGTAAACAGCCAATATCACAGTCTATGTATTTTATACAGAACAAGGTCTTAAAAACAGATATTTTCCTCTAAGGCTTTTTCTCCATTATCTCCTTGTAACAACCTGAACTTACTCCTGGAACTTGGGGGAGCAAACAATGGCTACTGACTCTGGCAACATCATCTGGTAAGAGCAGTGAGTGTGCAGGTCAACACTGGAGAGGAAGGCAGTCTGTGTGGGATGAGTCTGAGAAGAGAAAAAAAAGTCAGAGACCCCCTAAGTGAGAACACAGCCAAGCCTTTTACTATGAAGGAAAGTAAAGCCAAAGAGTGCCTGTCAGCTGGCCACAATCTCCTTCTCAAGTACAAAGCCATTTGCAGCCATGGGGGGCACACCTGAAGTTCACAAGTGACGAACTTCCTTTCCAGCATTGTAAACAAGTATAGTTTAATTTGAGTATGTGAAAAGGCTCATAATTTCTAGTTGACCCTCAAGACTTATTTGGCTCCTCACGAGCTTTCTCTGTGCGATGAAGAGTCACCTGTTCTGGAATAGATGGTACAAGCTGCCCAACACTTCAATATGGTAGAAGACAGGACTTTAACAAACAGCAGTTAGAAGAATGATTCTTCTTCTCAACAGGTGTTAGAAGGTCAAGCATGAGCCTAGGCAAAAGGGGCAAAGGCTATCCTGTTGTTAAAGCACATGATCCAAGGACATAACAGGTAGGGGGCCACTGGGATGTCAGCAAGTAGTTAGATCACACAGAGGACCCTGTGTTTGGGGAAAGAACAAGGATATTAAAATTTGAAAGTAACCAGTTAAAGCACCATCTAAACATGCATTCACTTGGGGGAGCAAACAATGGCTATTGACTCTGGCAACATCATCTGGACCAGAGCAGTGAGTACGCAGGTCAACACTGGAGAGGAAGGCAGTCTGGGTGGGATGAGTCTGGCTTCCCTGCAGTACTTCATTTATTTTTGATTACTTAATGTTTTATTGAGCACATTCTTTGTAAACAAATGAACAACTTACATGTATCTGAGAGGCCTGCGATCTTAGATAACAAGAATGGAAAAAGAAAAACCCAATATGACTCAAAAAGACCAACCTTCACTGACAGAAAAGCACAGAAAGTAAGTGTAATTGACCAGTGTTTTCAAACCTGCTGTACAAAATATGAAGCTCCTTGAAGAGCTTGTCAGAAGCACAGGCTCCTGTACCCTACCCATGGAAATATCCATCCTGAGAGGTGACTTTTTTTTTCAAAAGACTCAATAAAGAAATCTCATATGCAGCCTTGGCTGAGAAGCTCCACTCCACAGAAAGCTGTGACCAGCTCACAGTGAGAGAGGCCTGCAGGACAGAACTGTGTCCACTGAGAGCTGACAGCAAATCTGCACACAGATGCTCGTGGGACAGGTAAGAACTCTCGTGACCACAAGGGAAAACAGTTTCTACCTGATAATAATGATCCTACAGACTGCTAGGGACAAATGGCCTGAGCCAACACCTTTCACCCTCTGATTGTGAGAAGAGGCACTGCAAGCATGGTTTCTGTTACTTATGCTTTGATTTACATCTAGAGACTGTGAAGGCAGGAGCTCGTGACCTGAATCAGTGGAGGCAGGAGTTAAGTTATACAGCAGGCGACTTTTTGTGACTTTGGTTTCACTCTGTCCGGCTTCCCTGAAGTACCGAACCTAACTCTTCTCAACATATTTGGAATTCTAACTGGGAACAAATGAGGCCTACATAAGCTGATCTAGGCCTCTGATCTTAAATTGAGTCAGCTAGAAAGATGATTAAGAGACATATAGTACGGGCTCAACAGGTAACTGTTAAGCTGAATCCACAAACCTCGCCTTGCGCTTCTGTTCCCCTCTATTGTGCCTTCTCTCTATCTTTCCCTTCACAATTGAGTTTCTTGAAAAAATAGCTATGTCCACCAGCTGGAGACAGAGGAAGGCATTTTTATGAAGAGAAAACAATACACCAAAGGAGCAGAAGTGAGTGAGTGTCTGCAGAGGGCAGCCTAAGCATCGGGACAGGAGAAGAGTGGCCACAGGGGAGCAATACAAGCTAAGGCTGAGCTGAGAAGGTGAAGAAGTGCCTTGAATACTGGGTTGGGGGTTACACAATGATAGTTTGTGATCAATATATGACCATACAAACTTTTTGATTAGGGAGCCTGATTTATAGCTGGCAAGGTACAGAAGGAAGATTTGATTTTGCGCTCTCCCTTCTTGCCAATTTTAAGATCTGAGCAAAGCCTTATAGTCTGAATTTTGTTTCTTTTTAATCCCAAACTAGGAAGGAATAGTACAGAAATATGGAGAAAAAAGCTGAAATACTAACAATTAAGGCTCTAACATTGTTCCTAGATAGGCCCTTAATGATAATAGAGGTCCTTTTATTCATTTGTGGCTAAGTTCCACCTTAAGTTTAAACAGTAATTATTCCAAACTTGCCCCATCTTCTCCAGTTCCCCAAACCACCTGTCTCCCTCATGTTGGGTAGTGGATTTAGACTTCAACCTTGTTGAAATCAGACTGCTTAAAATGAGCTCCTTCAACCCCTCTAAATATAACATCAACAATCTCTCTGTATCTTTCTCTCTTCCTTTCAATTCTGTCTCAGAGATGAGCATTTTCTCCTGCATATGAAGATGAGCCCCTTTTATTGTCCTTTTGATTTAATCTTTTCCTACCTCCACATTACATCTCCTCCATCGGCTCCACTATGCTCCATGGGCTCACTGGGCATAAAAACACATTCAGACAAGTAATACACACAAGAACGTAGACAAACCTTAACAATATTGAGCAAAAGAAGCTGCACAAAAGAATACATATTATATACTTCTATTTATATAAAGTTCAAAAGCAGGCAAAACTAAACTGTCCACTTTAGGAACACACATTTAGGTTGCAAAACTATTATAAAGCAAGCAAAGGATTTCCAGAAAAGTCAGGAGAGGGATTACCTGTACCAGGGAGGAAGTGTGACTGGGCAGGAGCACGGGGGTGGGAGTGTGCTTCTGACAATGTTCTATTTTTTGACCTAGGTTGTATATATAGATGTTGCTTAACGTTTTATTAAAGTGTATCTAAAGTGTGTGTGTGTGTGTGTGTGTGATTTAATCTTTTCTTTCAAATTTCCTTCCCTCTGAATTTCACAGTGTTCTGTTTGCACCTCTTGAGGCACTTGGCATATTCTGTCTCACATGAAGAGTTATTACTTTATCTATTTGTCTAATCTCCTCTATTACTCTAAAATCATATCTTACTCAAATTTGTATTCCCTGGCAGATAAGGAACAGGTTTTCTATGTTCCATATACCAAAATGGAGGAATACACAATAGAAAACAAATATTTATGTAACTGAACTAAAGAAAGAAACCTTTCTTCAAATAGAAAGGTTTCAAAAAAATCAGAATAGAACACATGCTCAAGCCTTTCACACTAAATCATAAATCAAACAGTCTCTCAAACTGACTACTCCTTAAGCCACTATCCCATTTTTTTCCTTTTCCCTACAGCTAAGCTCTCAAAAAATTAAAGTTAGCGTACATTTCACCATCACCACAACCTCAACCACCATTACTTTTTAAACCCTTATAAGCTACTCCCACCACTGCCTAAAGCCCATGAAACAGAGGTCACCAATGACCTTCCCAAATCCAGAAAGCTGATATGAGTCTCTGTGATTCTGGAGCTCTCTGCAGCAGACATGGTCAGCATCCTGAAATTTCTTCTTAAAATGTTCCTACTTTGGCTTCTGTGCCTTAACATTACCCTCACCCTTCTCTTATTATTTCTTTGTTTCATTACTGATTACTCCCTACACCCTCCAACGCAGCCTACCCCCAAGCTGCCAGTCAACTCTTCTTGCTCTCCACTTTCCTCCAATTCCAAGGCTTCCAAGCTCTCTGCAGAGATCTCCCAAATCTCGTTCCCACCTTGACCTTGCTCCCAAGTTCCAGCCACATTTTCAAATGCCTGATGACCACCTTCACTGATGTCTCACCAGTATTTTAAATTCAATATGCTCAGAACTGAACACACAATTTGCCTCACTTGCAAGGTAAGTTCTCCTCCCATTTTTGCTTATGGAGATGTTCATTGCCACCCCCACGAGTCAGGCCTGAAATCTCTGTCATCGCTGACTTTTACTCATCATCCTCTTACTCATTCCCACATCCTCTGAAATCCTATACTCATCCCCATCCCAAATGCACTGCCATCATCCTCTCATCATTATTAGATTTTATCACCACACTAACTTCTTAAAACATCTTCCTGACTCAATTACCTTGAAACTGCCTTTATGTTAAACCTTCTAAAGTATGGCTTTGATCACATCATTGCTTTACTCAAAAACCTTTTAAGAATTCTCTACTTAACTAACAAGCAGAGCTATTCTGCCTGTCTACCCAAGACCCTTCAGAACACTACTCCAATGTATCATGTTAAAGCTCAGCTACTATTTCCTGACATGAAACGTAAACCCCAGGACATCGGACCACTTATGTCCTCTCCACACAGAACTCTCCATTGGCCCACCCTGTCAAAATTCTAGTAAATCATACTGCTGTGATCCTTCCCTCTGAATTTCACAGTGTTCTGTTTGCACCTCTTGAGGCACTTGGCATATTCTGTCTCACATGAAGAGTTATTACTTTATCTATTTGTCTAATCTCCTCTATTACTCTAAAATCATATCTTACTCAAATTTGTATTCCCTGGCAGATAAGGAACAGGTTTTCTATGTTCCATATACCAAAATGGAGGAATACACAATAGAAAACAAATATTTATGTAATTGAACTAAAGAAAGGACAGAGGCACAAGGGACTGCCTCACAGGTCAGAATTTCCCAAATTCTAACATACAAGTATGTGTAAGCTTCCTAAATCCAGAAATGAACCAACTTATATGTACGTATGTAGTCTTGTCACATAATATATGAAGTGGCTTGGTTTGTGAGAGTGAGGAATTGGAAAGGAATAGAAAGAAAAATTAATAAATAATCTCTCAAGGTGCAATTATGTTTTACCTGAGTATTACCAGAAGACTGCATAAGATATGCAGACACTTAAAAATCACCTATATTGGTGGCCCTCTGGTTTACATAAAGGTTAAAGATGTAAGCTGCTTTAAGATCAAAGGCAAACATCTGAATTAACTTCCTTGGCTCACTTAAAGTATTTTGATTTACATACCTTTTAGGAACATCATTTGTATAAAGTAGACACAGCCTGACTAGTCAATGTCCACATATATTCTAGGCCAGCTTCCTATCACCATTCACACTCATGGGGAAACAAGTTCATTTTTACTATATGAAATGAAGTTTCATTTACTATAACATTTTTAAAGATTAAAAAATTTAAAAAGCTCCAAGTCCCCCCAAATTTAAAAAGTTCCCAAAATGAATACTGGAGTGCAAGCAGCCAAGTATGCTAGGGAAGTCATGTCTATATCCAATGGAGGGGGAAATAGCTTTCTAAATAATCTGGATACAATTCACTTTGTGTTTATAACGTCATGAGGGAAGAGAAGGCTAACCCTCAAAGAGCTCAGAATTGCTTACATGAATCCATCCCAGTGTGATGAGACCCTGCTGATCCTGTATGAGGAAAAGTTCTTCTTCGTTCTCAGTGTTGCAATAATCCGACCCAGCGCTTTGCTTAGGGATAAGAACGTGAGTAATGGTAAATTCATTCCTCATCTGTTAAAAAGAGAAAAGAGCTTGTCACAATTCCCTAGCACTTATGGAACCCTACTCTGTCACAGCAGGGGAAAGTGAAACGTCTATGCAAGTGAGTCTCCTGCAAGCTGAATCCCTCACCTCAGTGATTCACCACCTCGGCTGCCCATGCGCATGGCTTGGGGCGCTCTGCAAAGCCACAAATGCCCAGAGTTCTGCGGGAATTTCTGGCTGCAGCCAAACAGACCTACTTGTTATTCTTGAGAAGCTCTGAGTATAGTACCATTTCTTTTCCTTTGCTCAGTAGTTTCCCTTTTACTGTTTCTCTAAGTTCTTCCCATCCTTTAAGGTACAGTTTAAATCTATCACACATCATTTATTTATTCATTCAGCAGTCAGCAATGGGTTCTGTAAATGCCTCCATTTAATGATCTTTCCTTCCTCAAAATTCCTAGTGCTCTTAATGTACATACTAGGCAGCGTGCTATTGATCTTTTGGTGTATGTTTGGACACATGCTATGTGCTTTATATATTTCATATTTCCTGGTCCTATCATAAAGCATGTGCTCAAAAATTGATATACAAGTAATGACTGAATCTTCTTACCAAGTTTAGAATTTGTTATTTCTTTCTATTAGCATTAAAATAATCAGTTCAATTTAAGGGATGATGAAAAATCAATCAAATACAGTGTCACCAAATTCAAAGTGACATTGCATTATGCTGTCCATGGTTCCTTTGGCAGAGGGATCAGCACAAAGAGTAACTGACCCTGGATATCTTCTCTGAGTCACAGGAGGCCAAGGGGGAAGAAACAGTCTCAGCTCAGGAAAGTGTGTGCTGTTTACCAGTTTTCCACAGAGAATCCCACATGTCTCTACTCCACGGGCAGTGTTGGCACTGGCCAACTGGAGAAACTGTGGGCAGAGCCTTCTGGGCACCACCACATGGCGCAGTCCATCGATGGTAGGGGCTAGAAAGGAGAAAGAGGAAAAGTCTGAGACCATGGAGCAGAGTGTCCCTAAGTACACCTCAGAGCTAGTAGCCCTGGGAGTACAATGCCAAGTCTCTGGGGTCCCCCAACTGTAGGCAGTGAGCAGGGGATCTCACCCTAATGAGAGAAGAACAAGGGTTGAAAAACTCTTCTCCAACCTCTGGCCACATTATTTCAAGAGGCTTTAACCATTCAAGTTAAGACAAGGGTAAACTAATACTTAGAAGTTTCTGAGCTACTCACGAATTCTCTGTCACAATCTAATACAAAAGGTTAAAAAAATAACATCCTCATTCAACTGAACTTTTGTTTACATTTTAAGCATCTGTTTTATCTTAGATAAGAACATTGGAGAGCATTACTTTCAAAGAAATACACCAGAATATACGCTGGGTAACTGAAAACTATATGGGTAAATGTTTACTTCTGAATTTATTCATTTAGAAGAAAGTTAAAAATGCCAAAACAACAAAAAACACATTCTGATCCTCAAAAGAGGCATGAATGAACACAGCAGCTCATAGGCCTGGTTGAGAATGTCAAGAATGGATCCAGTCCCTGACCACCGGGAGAAGCCCTGTCAGAGAGCCAGGAGGCTAATTAGGGGGCATCCTTCACAGGCACATTTCATTTCTTTTTTTTTTAAGTGAAAAAGGATGCTCTGCTTGTGAACATTCAACAGCAAGATCTGAACTGTAGGGCAGTAACAAGCCAGACCAGGGCCATGAGGTCACACAGCAGTCCAATGACAGTAGCTGGGGATTCTAAATTAAGGTTTGGCATGGTCCTTGCCCTTCAATTCTATCATCACTTCCCAAATGCATACCAAGTAGGTACTGTGCTCGGCCCTCAGGAAACCTGCAAGAAGTTCATACCTAGTCACTGACAAATGACTACACTCTCAGGTAAATGATCTAAACTGTATTACAGGTAAGAGCTCTGGGAGTTTTGAGAAGAGAATCAACCTGCTTAAAGGGAAGGGAATCTGGAAAAACCTAAAAGAAGGGAAGGCAGAGATAGAGAAAGGAGATTTTAGGTTGAAGGCAAAAGTTAACAAACCTCTTTGGGTAAGACAGTCCAGGAACCGTTCTGGGAACATAGGAGTCTGGGAACTGTAGCACAGAATATGTATGAAGGAACAGTAGTGAACGATGAGCCTGCTGAGTATGTGGGCAGAAACCCTAAAAGCCAGGCTTCAGGGTTCAGCACTCTTGCCCCCACTGTACTTTCAAGTGGGTCTTCTGCAAAGCTGACTTTATCAAATGACTAATTGAAAGCTGATTCCTATCTGAGAAGATCTATTCTAGTAATCAAGGTTTACTTATTATTTTGAGGCTCAGATAGCCGATTGTTGGTGAGAGGAGGAAAAGGACTGTCAACAGCTTTTATGGCTAGACTGAATTGTTACTGACTACATACAATATTTCTCTTGACTAAGGTACTTAAGGATTAGAAATGCTTTCACAGGAAGCACAATTCAGAGGCCCTATTTTAATTTTTAAAGGTCAGTTGTTGAATTGCAAAGTGATACTATAAATTTCAAATTTCCTTTATAAAAGACTAACATGGTCTCTAGTCCATTTAACATTTTAAATCTCTGTATAACCCCTAACAGCTGAGGATCTGACTTTTCAGGATATTATTAACTCTTGAGAAATCAAACTGGCCCTAAGTAGATTATGAGTTAAGCAAAGGCCACTTTCATAATATAACCAGTGTGACAGGACACACTATGACAATATTGATCAAATGGGTTTCTGTGACCAGAGCCTAGTGGGTGAGATCACAGAGGCTATCTTAGGCTAAATCCCCCAGAATGACCCTGTTTGGCTGCAGCTGAGATGGAAGAAGATACAAGCAAATGGACTCACTACTTTCTGAGTTGCTTAACGCTCCAGGTTTCAAGGACCTGTCCACCACAGGTGGCTTGGCAGGCCTTACAGCTGTATTACAGTCTGAAGGCTGCATGGATGCCACAGGAGCTGTGGGGAACACATCTGGAGTGGGCTTCTCCAAGTCAGGGACGAGCGGGTCACTCAGGCCAGGGTCCACCTTCCCAAACTCCTGCACAATTTTCAGGCGCTCTTTTTCTAGCTCTTGGTTCCGGATCATCTCCTCAAAGGCATGGAATTGTTCCTGCTCCAGCTGTTGCTGCTTCTGTTGTGCTACCCTCTGCCTTTCCTTTTCTAGTTCCTGCTGGATGGCCACATTCCTGGCTAATTCTTCTGCCTCCTTCCTCTATAGTAAATGAAAGAACAGGAGTTAGACTACTTTACAGTCAGGTGGCTTCATGCCTCAAGGACAAGACTTTTCAACAGGGAAGTTTCCCAAAATGTGCTCTGCTCTGGCCTGATTTCCTAACACAGAATCGTGCTTCCCTCGGTATCTCTGCACCCTTGGAATAGTCATCACTCCTGTCTATCCAGCTGCCTTATACCTATTCATCCAGTACAAGTCCCAATCCTCTCAGGTCCTTCCCCAATGATTCTACTGCATTTTCTTCTTTTACCAGAATCTCAATGCAACTTGCTGCATCTCATAATCTATATCATACACAGTTTTATTCTCTAACTGCCATGCATACATTCTGTATCCTAAGTCAGGCTGTAAAATAGAACCAAATCCAAATTTAACTTAAGGGTCTCTACTGAATTTAAACCCAAAATAGAGTCTCCAACATTTCTATAGTGATCAATTCAGTAGAGTGACATTTTAAACTAACAAGAAATACCAAGTAATAATCTCTTTCATTAAGGTTTTCACTTAGTGCCTTAGAAATATTTGCCTCACAGCTATTCAGCTCTCTGCTGATTTTTAACATCAGAGTCCAGACTACAGCTCAGCAGAGAACTACAAAATAATGTGGAAATTCTTGCAGTGTGTATTCACATCTGATACAGACCACTGACAGTGCCTTGGGAGTTTCTCCATATGCTTTAACTGACACTTCCCTACAAGAATCATTTGAAAATAGCTTTAAAAAGATAAGTCAATTATTATAAACAGGTATAACCTGTTTCAGGTAACACCAAATGTGAATCAAACCCCCCAAATTCTCTTATCTAAAAACCTATATTTCAGTGAGAATTTTCATTGTTCTTAGGTTCTCGTTGTAGATATAGCAGACAAGAAATAAATTTTCTGTCCCTCAAATAACCCTCTTGGATAAGCAGGCAAAATTTGTGTTGGAATCCTCAGTCAAAATACTTGTATTCTTTTTTGAGCTTCTGGTTTGCCAATAAGTAAAATATCACATTAAAATCATAAAATCATAGCATCTGCTAAATATCATATTACAATCCCAGGGCTAAAAAACCAAAATAATTTCCTCTTTTGTTGTTGTTTTATACTCACTTTTTCTTCATTGTATTCTGTATATTCTTTGGCATATCGTTTTAACAGCTCTGCCTTTAGTTCTTCCGCTTTGGGAAATGCAATCTCCTTTAATTTCTGAGACACGAAAATTAAAAACTGAGAATTAGAACAATTTCCAACTAATTAAGCAGAGTAGTGAAGAGTTAAGTAGTGAAGAGTAGTGAAGAGTTTGGCAATGGCAACAATGTTCCCAAAAACAGTTTAAAACACAACTTAACCATACCTGTGCCTCGCCTCTGAAACTGATGTGTTGCAATGGCCTAATCTCCTACTACAGGACTTGATGCACAGAGGGAGACCCTACTACTTTTACCTTGAAATTAGTCTGTGCCTCTTTGAAGCTTTTAGATGCGCAACATTGCAAGTGAAGACCTACCTTTACCATGTCTTTCTTTTCAGGAATGACAGCCGATTTATAATCTCGATGCTTTGGTAGTTTCTCGATAAAGAGTCTAAGGGAACAGATCACAACGATTATAATGCAGAGAAAATGTCCAGAAGTCCAAAAGACTGAAACAATGAAAATCCCCTGTCCTGCAGTCACTGCATGACTGATTTGTAGACATGCAGGGAGGGGTAGCACACACCCCGGCAGGCCGTGCTCCCCACCCATCTCTCCAGCCCTGCGGAGAGCAAAGAAGTGCTTCCCTCTTTTCCCTGATCAGGTGGCAGCAGCATCAGACTCCTATAAAAAATGGGGAAAAGAAGCCTATCCTGTGCCCAAAAATAATGCTCCTAAGAGAGTCTTCTCTTGTTCTAACAGTGAAAAGCTTCCAAAGGAAAGGGCTGCTCTGACCAATCCTTATTCAGAGAACAGTTTGGCAGCCAGGGGCAGGCAGCTGAGAGAAAACCCACGTTCTTGTACTACTCCTAGCCCTGTGTAACTTTTTGCTTTGGCTTTTTTTTCCTTTGGGATTCATGTCCCTTCAAAGAAGAATATTCCTTGCATCATACTAAGCACTGACATGCTCAGACAGTATGTGTGTTATATGTGTGTAATATGTGCATATTACATGTGTAACATGCATTATGATCTCTGATAAAAACTGCTTAGAGAAACATAAAGTGCTAGATTTTCACTTTCAGTTCTCATCTATGGCTGTAAAACTCAGTGGGAAGAGTAAACTGAATCAGTTTACAGACTTCTAACATTTACGATGCCTATTTGGAGTAAGGGAAAACAAATAGTTCAGTCACTTCTCACAGCCCAAGTGGGAGATTCAGAATTTCAATGCCAGCAAGCCAGTTCCACTATACCATATATCATACTCTATCGTATATCATACTATATTATCCTGTTATCATTCTACCATATCATATCATACATCATATCCACATTAACCACTAGATCATACTGCCTCCACATGGCTCCTGCAATCTCCAGAAATGTCAGAGGGGTTCAGAACAAAGATGCCTTTTAATAGAATTAAGTTGTAATAAATACAAGCTGAGACTCAAATAAATTAAGGGTAGCTTGTCCACAGACCTAAAACACTGCACTGCAGTTGGGATTAACTGACTCTCTTCCACTTTCTGCCCAAGGAGGAGGAAGCCTCAGTAAGGGGAAAAGGAGAAGCTTCCCACCAAAACAAACCATCTACAGATGAGCCCTCCTCCTTTGGTTCTGTATTTCACACATGAATATTTCATTTCAGTCTAATGAGACAAGACTCCTCAGGCAGGGATTAATTCTGAAAACAAAATGATTCTAAAAATCTTTCCTTTGGGTTCATGAAAAAGAATGAAACAGTTTCCCTGAAGTCTATATTTAAAATGAGTAGATTCATCTTTCAACAATAATGTCCTGAAGAGGACACTAAGATAAGTAAGACACAGTTCTTGTGGTGAACCCTATGATTCAGTAACTCTCTCATCCTGGCCCTAAAGACCAAGGTATGTGTTCACCACCTGCAGAAGGCTGAATGTGCATGTGTTGAAGCCTGAATCAGCCAAGAAAGTACCATGTCACATAAATATACTTTTTAATCACTTATGCTCTCAACCTAAGGAACTGTAAAGTCCCTAGGATTAGAGACTTCTGTGTCTCATGCTTCTTTGTATATTCCTCTAAGGTCAGTACAGTGCCTGTATAAGGAGGCACTCAATAAATATTTGATGAACAAAATGGTCTTAAAACCCTTGGATGAGCTGAGTTAAAGTGTGAGAAAGTGTATATAGTATGCTATCTTATGTGTTAGAAAGGGAAAAAATTGTTTATGTGTATGTACATATATTTATTTGTTTCGCTTATGAGTATATAAACACAGGAAGTATACACAGAAACTAATATAAGTGAGAGCATGGGCAAGAGTGGATAAGAAAAGTGTATGAGTAAAACTTTTCACTATATACTTTTTTTTACTCTTTAAAAATTCTGAACCATGTAATGGAATCTAGTTTGCAAGTAAAAACTTCCAGACCTGTGCATGAGTACCCTTCTCGTTTTAGCAACTAGAGTTAATTTTCTGAATCGGGACACAAAGACAGAAGGATCTCTTGAAAACAGAATAAGCAACATATCCCATTGGCCACAGTAGAGGCAACAGAGCTTAGTGGTTAAGAGCAGGCTCCAGAGTCATCTTACCTAGACTCAAATCCTGGTTATTTACCTGCTGTGTGACCTCTAGCAAGTTACTTAATCTTATCCTCCCTCAGTTTCTTTATATACATAAATTACACATATGGAGACAAACTAGTACTACCTGATAGGGCTGCTGTGATGCTAAAAGAGATGTAAAAAATAAAAAGTGTGAGCACACCTAATCTATGTGCTTATGTGATTATTTTTACTAAGAAACAAACAAAAAACTGAGCAAGAAGAAGGGCTGAAGATGTTAACCCTAGGCCTAGAACAGCTGTGGCCCAGGTGTATATTGTTCTCTAGGCTTAGATCTGGTTGCAGCGTGGAGACAGGAAATGTACCAAAGCAAACAAAGATGCATTGGCAAAAACACAAGCACAACAACCTAACAGAGCAATAGGAAAAAAAGAGACACCTGGAAAAGTAAAATAAAAGATGAATAAATATATGAAATTGTACTTAACTTTACTTATAATGAAAGAAACTCAAATTAAGATGAGATACCACTTTCATCTATCAGATGGCAAAGGCTTAAAGACCAATTAGAACTGGTGGAGGTGAGGGTATAGGCAAATCAATGTCCTTATTCACTTTTAGGACTATAATTTGATAACATCTTTTTTCTTAGGGGAGGGAGAAGGATGAGAGGCAACTACTCAAAATTTTAAATGTGTATATCCTTTAGACTCACAGTTCTACCTCTAGGAATTTATCCCATACAACAGTACAAAAATATATGTGTAAGACTATACCATATAGTTTTGTCATGAAAGTAGGGAAAACTGAAAACCTAAATGTCCATCCATGGGGAATTATTTAATAAATATGGTATACTCAAATAGGAAAAGCAACATAATCGTTCACTCAGTCATTCACTAAATATTTACTGAGCATCTACTACAGGATCAGGCATTACTGCAAAGGCTGGGGATTTAGCAGTAAATGACACAGTCACAAATTTCTCCCCATCACAGAGTGTACATTACTGTGGGGAAACAGACAATAAACAAAATAAAAAGTATGGAGATCATCAATGCTGGGAAAAAGTCATTAATGGGGAAAGGAAATAGGCAGTGACAGGGGAAGGACTGAAATTTGAGATAGGGCAGGTAGCAAAGGCATCTGAGAAGGTAAGTAAGGATTGGGAGAGATTTAGGATAAGACTGCTAAGCAGAAGAAATGGTCCTGAGGCAGAATGAGATGAATCAGTGTGTCTTGATATGGAAACACCTGAGTGTTAAGAAAGCAAGCTGTAACAGAGAAGACAAGTAGTGACTCTGCGGCATCTTACTACACTGATGGACAGTGACTTCAGTGGGGTATGGGGGGGACTTATAATATGGGTAAATTTAGTAACCACAATGTTTTTCATGTGAAACCTTCATAAGAGTGTATATCAATGATACCTTAACAAAAGAAAAAAAGAAAGAAAGCTATAGTATAGAAAATTTTGTATGATCTCATTCATGCTTTAAGAAAAAGGATAAACACATGAGCCCATGTGCTTGCATGGGCATAAACATTTTCTTGTACATACAGGAAATGTAACAGTGGTTATATTACTTGTGGGGAATGGGACTTTTCATTTTAATATTTCCCTTGCTGTACGGTTTCAAAAAACTGTTTTTGCCATGAACATAATTTTATACAAAAATAATTAATTCAAAGAAGTCAGGCAGAAATTCTGTAACACAGGTACACTAATGATTCTCATCTCATTTCTCCCAATTTTAAAAATTAATGAGCAAAGTAAGCCTGATCACAGAAGAAAACCTTCTTCAGTCTATAAGCCCTGATCCCAGTGGTAAACATTTTCAACACAGGTAACAGACCATTTTCAGGGTTCGTGTCATAGGAGCAGGCATTGCCTACATCCTTTGTAACTCCCTTCTGTATAGCCTAGTCAATGACCATAAAAAGCTGTGAAAGAATCCACTGCCTGGATTATTGCCTGTGCTCATCATGAAAATATGTACTGATTTAATGTGCTGAAGATCTTTCTTCTATACTGGGGTCTGCAAAAGGCAAAGCATTCTTGCAGCAGAGAAAACCTCTGACTGGGGAAATGTGCTTGAGATTATTAAGATGCCTGAATTGCTCCAGGGAAAAGATGAAATGCCTTTTAAAATCCTGAGTTAAAGTACCCACAAAAGGTCTAGAACAATGACTCTCAATAGTGGGGAGGTAGAGGAGTGGTGAGGTAGATGCCTACCCTCCTACCTCATCTCTCCTCTGCTGTAGAACTGCCAGAGGGAGCCAGTTACTGAAAGGAATATATTAACTAAAAGGCAGTAGAAAAACAAAGAATACTGAGCTAGAAATTCCGTGCAACTTGTCAGTTCACAAAATCAAAATTAGGCTCTTGAAGATACATCTGCAAGAAAAATGAAAGCAGCTACATTTATTGCTCCAGGACAAGCCAATCCAACAAAGTCCCAATTAAACCCTAAATCTAACAAATTAGGTACATAGCTGCTACATCTCACCCTACTTAACCTCATTACATCTCACCTCACTTAACTTTCTTCCAGGCCTAATTTATCACATTAGCTGGTCCTAGAAGTCGAACACCATATACAGGGACAGACTCCCCTTATTGGTCTCACTGTTAACACTGATTTTCATGTCACTCAAAGTAACACCAAATCACAGGAAACAATCAGTTCCTTAAGTATCTCTGTACTTTTAATCCTATCCGCTCTTGCCTATTCAGACGTTTATCACTACAGTTAAACTCTCTTCTGTACCATCAACCTCTCCTCCTCCACAGGATCCTTTCCACCAGCAAAATATATGGTTTAGAATCTCCCATCTTAAAATACACATCACATAATCATGCACTTCTTATCCCCTTCAATTACTTCCTCACTT